ACTGCTCATCATAGGAGAAATGTAGAAAAAATATCTACGAGAATACTTTTTGTGCAACATTTTACAACAAATCATAGAAATGGATAGACGTCTTTGTTCATTGCTGGTGTGTTTGGTTCACAGCAGAGAACTAGGACACAGTATAATCATACCAATTAAATGAATGCCCTTAAATTGGTTTTTATCGACAAGAAAATTTAATGTCAAAAATGTTTGAATAAAGCCATGGGAGTTTGTGCTCATTATTTTTAGTATACTACATATTTATCGCAGTTTATATAGGAGTTGAATGAAGGGGATGCGTAAATAGAAGGAAAATATTTATCGCGTGCATGTATTTCATGCTTGTAGGTGAGCAACGTGTATTTATTTTGATATTACTGCGTGAATAATCATTATTAGTTAGTCATCTAGAAATATTAGCTATAATTATTGAAATAGATGAAAAGATGATGTTGTTCTTATTAGCTTCTAAGTTGTAATAACCTGAATTTTATACGCGGACTAGTTCGTCGGAGTCAGGCAGCGGTCGGACGCAATAAAAAGGTTCAGGCATGGAAAGGAGATGTACAGATCGGCTTGGCTGGTTGCAAATAATATAATGTGAATTTATTGACCATATTGTGTGTACAATATCTTATAATACGTGCGTGGGTGCGTGCGTGCATGGGTACGTGCGTTTTTTTCAGAATTTTTTCAGAATTTTTTAATATCATATTTTCTCATGTTGAAAAAGAAAGTGCAGTACTAAAAAGTTGATAAAAAATTCTTAGAACTTTATGAGAAGAAAATAAATGATTTTTGTCTCTTGCAGTTTTTCTATAAAGTTGATAGTATTTGAGTAAAAAATTATTCAAGATCAATATTTGGCAATTTTTAGTAATTAATATCTTGTTAACTATTACGAAAATTGATAGAGGACTTTTCGACTCAGGTTACACACACATATATATATATATATATATATATATACATATTTATATATGTATATATGTATATATGTAAATATATATGTGTGTGTGTGCTTATACGGGAGGATGTGTGGATGAATGGATGGAATGACAGACCAACTTAACTGTTTAGCTGCTTAGTCCACAAAATCTCGGGTGGATATTACTCGAAGATGATTAGGAGGTCCGTTGTGCACGCAAGAGCGCCAGGAGAATAGTCACAGTGGGCAGTGATTAGTTGATTCCAACAATGATTTGATGCACTCGTGCAGATTAAAATGGCGTGAATTGGGTTACTGACGCGAATTCGATTCGATGTACTCGAGTACGGATACGCGAACTGGCGTAAACAAGTTTACTGACGCGAACTTACGTGGTTTTTCACTGACATGAACTGTACTAACGTGAACCGGCTTACTTTGACTTTGGTGCTAACGTAAACCGAGTTAGCTTGATTTTCATATTGACACTCTACGCTTCCGCGAGACCTCTATTTATACCCCGAAAAAAGGGCGTAATGCCCTTTGTCTAGGATGCAATAATTAATTGCAATGTCACGTGAGATTTACGATTTTTATAGCATCCTATCGTTGTTAATCTAAAGTGCATCGTTAGAGAGATTTCGAGAAGAAAAGAAATGATTTACGTTTTTCTTTAAAGAGGCAAGATTGCTCCAGACGGATGACGAATTGTGTTATCCTCGCCGAAAATATGACTAGGTAAACACACGGTTACCGTGCATAACTAGTTTTGCGTGCAAGGCAATCATTGTCAGTTGCGAGTCCGATCTTAGACACTAATGTGGGAAGTTATCTCATGCGTTTTATGATTTTTTAAACGCGACGTGGCGCCTGTTTTCTCAAGATAAAATGGTTAATCAGCCTGGGATGACAAAACTTGGATTTTTATTATTGCGTGAGGATTTTTATTATTAGGTGCATTATAATGTCTTTCGCAAACTTGTCACTTTTCACCTGCATTAAGGTTGTTATTTTTTCCGAGTTGATTGATGTTTACGCATTGGAATTTTCGCAGAGCTTGTCTGGTCCCTCTTTTCAATTCTGTCAGATCGTTATCAGAGGACTCAAGTCTTATAGATGCCAACCGTAGTTACAACGTGGAGCTGATTCTTTCGAAAGAAAAGAATCGTAGCGTCTATAGGACAGCAATATCAGAGGATAAATTGGAATTAGCCGAAATTATTTTAAACTATTTACTACTGAATAGTCGCGGTGACCATGTTGGAATCGTGACATCAGAAGCGAGGAATGACACGTACATTTATGCCTGAAGCCAGTTTTGTATATAAAGACAATTTGGATAAATTTAAATGACAAGATTGCTTTAAAATACCTGTAAAAATGGCTAGAAACTTTCCTTTTTTAGTAGTTCTTTTGTCAGTAAATGATAAAAGATAGGTAAAGTGAGATAATTTCGAGCAGAAACACACGATTTAAATAGCTGTTAAAATGAATGAAATATACGCTTTACGTATCAAATTCCAAGATAACTATAGTTTCTGCTCATTTTTAGATACTTTTATAAGTACAAGACATGTCACATTTTCACAATTAAGCAAATAATAACGAAATGGCTTACAGCACAAATTTCGTCGTCAAAACGTCGTCAAAATGTCATTTTTCCACGCTTATTAGTTCAGCCTTTTACCGTGACAAAGTGCTGTATATATGTCGGTATTTGGTACACTTATTACCATATAAGATATATATGAAATAAAAAATATAAAATATTAATGCTCATGTGAAATAAATAACATTCTTTCATTAAAAAACGCTACGAATTAATTCCAACACCTAATATATATTCAACATCTCAACACTCAGACCATAGTGGCGCTTTGTGTTCAAAGTAATGTTATTTAGCATAAACGGTCTTGTTTCCAATCTTATTGATAATAATATAAAATATAGCTAAAATATGAAAAAAAGAACATGATTTAAATAACATACAGGGTGCGTCACCAAAATTCGGACAAATTTCAATTTAAATTTTCCGTTATATTATGTCTCCGCGAGAATTTGTTGTTGGCGTCCAAGAAAGCCTAATGCTTCTAGTAAACAGTCATGTTCTCAAAATGGCCGTTGATGGATGTTGAAGCCAAGTGCGGAGTATAATCGCAGAGCCGCGATCATTGCTGGACGCTTAGCAACGGAAATAATTCGGTTCTTTGGATACCCGAGATCAAAACCGTTTATGACGTTGTGGCAAAATATATGGCTTTAGAACAGAACGTCCAATGGAACAGAAGGTTCCAGTATGCCAGCAAGGAAGAATCACTCGAAAGAACGCATCGCGAGGACCCCCGCAGTTGTTGAAAAGACTCAAGCGCTGATTTCAGATGATCAAGGGCAATTGTTGCGAAAATTAGTATCGATTATTGATGTAAGCGAGCCAACAATGCGTCGAATTGTCGAGGTCGATCTTCGATACAAATCGTACACATTAAAGATAGGACAGATGCTCGCCTCGGCTTCCATTCTGGCCTGCCAACAGCCCAGATTTAAATTCCTTGGACTACTACGTATGGAGCGTTGAAAGAGTCACAAACAAGTCTCGGCATCCCAATGTGACGTCATTAAAGACCGCTATTGAGGCAACATTCATCGCATGGACAGCGCTACATTACAGCGTGCGTGCGAACGTTTCAGACCGAAAATAGAAGCCGTCCGCTAATGGGGGATATATCGAATAATTGTGTTTTACAGGTATCCCCCAAGTGCCATGTAAAGGTACTTTTGTAATATTTAATTTTTCATTAAAAACATTTTGTTTAAAGAAATTGTTCAATTTGTCCGGATTTTAGTCACGCACTCTGTATATGATATTGTATTAATGTCACGTTTTATGTTCGAAAATGATCAATAATTAAAAAGTAATAAAATTGTTCTGCACTATTATCCCGAATATTTATTGACACATACAATTGAGATTTTGATTAAAATTTCTAGAGCTTTATTTCCTCATCACATTATTACATATGTAGTATATGAAATCACCATTTTTGAGGATGCTTTTAAAATTGTCGGCAAATTGCTGGCAACTCAAAGTTGTTATATCGTGAAGGCATGAAATTGCCTTCAAATAATGACTCAATTGCTGCAATTCTAGAGCAATACATACTGCATATTTGGCCAGCAACAAGACAGATACGTTCTATCTTGATTAATTTGGGATAAAATAGGATGCTTTTCAATTGCTTGACACGAATGTGGCAAATTAGTTAACATATTTCCAGTATTTATAAATAATTTAACTCTTTTGTTTACATATTCTTTGTCATGATAATCTCATAACCTTGAAAGAATTAATTTATTAATACACTAAAAATATGTGAATTAATTTACTATATTTGTATCAAAATGTGTCAAACAATTGGAAAGCACCCATAAATTATATTATACGTAAAAGTTATACAGGGTTGGCCATATTCGACGGAAAGATGTTTTTTTTTCAATCATGGGAAACGTCGTTACTCGATCTAACATCTCTTTCCCATGATTGAAAAAAAAACATCTTTCCGTCGAATATGGCCAACCCTGCATTTATTTATTCTATTTATTTATTATACTGTATTATTTATTATACTTCGTTATTATAAATTTTATTATAAATTTATTATTTTATTAATTTGTATTACAGTTAAAAATTAATTATAAATAAAATAAAATACAGGGCTGCCATATTTGGATCCTAGATTCGCTTTATTATAGATTCGCCTCCTTGCTCCTCTTCATTGTGCTCCTCTCTATTTTGCTTCTCTCCATTATGCTCCTCTTCATTTTGCTTTTCTCCGTTCTGCTTCTCTCCATCCTATTCCTCTCCATTCTGCTCCTCTCCGTCTTGCTTTCCACCTTCCTCTTACATTTCCTTTTACATTAATGAATAATATCTAAAAAATATCTACAAAAAAGGTAACAAATAAAACAAATGTTTTATAAGATAAGAATAATATTGAATATTTAAAATTGTTATTCACAAATAGAACTTACATCTGGTTTCTCTCTTTCAAATGTCACTCTCCTCTTTTTCTCTTTTTTTCTATTCTTCTTTCTTCTTTCTCGTTTGTTTCTTCCTCTTCTTCGCTTATGGACATTTGTTCATCCATTGATCTATAAAAGTATTTAGCGTATTATGTTACAATATACCATGAATAATATTTACATAGATATCCAAGGAAGACACAAAAATCAACAAAGAATCAAAATGACTTTATTTTGAAATACATAATATATTATAATATAGCTTAAGGCTTTATTTTGATTCTTAGCATTAATAAACAATCAAATTTTGTAATCAGAAAATACGAACCTTTCCTTTCTCGTGTTTCTTTTTTCTTGTTCTTTTTTTCTTTCGTTTTCTTTTTTTATATCTCTTTCTTCTTGTTCCTTTCTTCTTTTATTTTCTTTCTTTTTTTCTTCTAAATTTTCTTTGTCTCTTCTTTAACTTTTTTTTTCTTTATATCTCTCTCTCTCTCTCTCTCGGCTTCTCTCTTTCTTCGTTTCTCATGCTCTCTCTACTTGCCTTTGTCTCTTCTTTTTTTTCTTTCATTATTTTCTGCTTTCTGGAGTGTGATATAATATAGACTTACATATATATGTATATGAAATTATATTTGTAAGATCATTACGATTATTATGTGGTAGATAGTGGAGCTAAATGTGACATTACAATATATTTGAATATATATTTGAATAGAAAATAATTTTTAGAGTTATTTTTAACAATATCACAATGTCACATTTACTCTCACCGTTACAATAATCTATAATAACCCTTATTTTATAAATATTATATATTATATATAAATTTATATTTCACATATATTTACAATTTTTATACATGAATGTATATATTTATGTGTTTCTCATATGTAGTGCCCACTAATTATATAATGTTCTTCTTTATCAAAAATTATTTTATTTACGTATCTACAACTGCTTTATGATATAAAAAACAAAGGAGGATTTTTTTTTATACGTATAAATACATATTAGTTTTTACACGTTGCCGTTTTATGTTCGATAATGACTCAGATAGCACACAATATTTGTAAAATATTTATAAAATATTATAATTATTTAAAATGTTAATTAAAATAAATTAAAATAATTGTCATAATTGTTTTATTTGTGAATAATTAATTTATAAGACTTATTTTAAATATTTTGTAAATATTTTCATGGTCTTTGTGATCTTAGATTGCACAAATTATAAACATTTGTTGTAAATATTATGAAATATTTATTGTAAATGTTGTAATAAATGCTATAAAAGTGCTTAAAGACATTAGAATCCAAATAAAAAATAGTTACTATGAATATTTATTTCTATTTATTATAAATATTACATAAAATATTTAGTCTATATTTTAATAATATTTTAATTAAAGTTTTATATAAAATTTATAGATCAAAAACGAACTTACCAAGTGAAGTTTGATCATAATTATGCCGATGGGTCTCGTCCGGATGAAGAATTAAGTATAGTAAAAACGTGCGTCCATGCCAACAGAGTTTAAATATTAGGAAAAAAAAAAGAAAAAAGAAAAATTTTTTCCCTCCGCGCTGCTGCGCGTCCGATGCCATGGCGCGCCTGGCACCACGTGCGATCGTCCATGCTCATATTTCAAAGTTAGAGAACCCGAGACGAGTCACCCATTAATACTTACGCTCAGGGAAGGATCAAGGAGGGACGGTTCATCCGAATGAGACTGATCGATATAATTATGATTAAATTTCACTTGGTAAGTTCGTTTGATCTATAAATTATGCCTTAGGTCTCATCCGGATAGAGAATTAAGTGTAGATGTACGTATGACTCGTCTTTGACAGTAAAACAAGAAAAAAGGTTTTAAAAGAAAATCGATATTTATCTCAACAGTCACAGATAGGCAGAAATGGTGGCTTTTTATTGAGCGTAAGTGAGACCACTTATGAATATTTGAATACATCTCTGACACATAGGAAAGAAAACTAGATTAAGATGTTTTGGCCCGAAGATAAGATCGTATTAGCAAACGCATCTTCATCTATTACTAATCTATTATAAAAATTCGCAAAAATACGGAATTCACCGGACCACTTCGCCGCACGCCTAATAAGATTTATTGATTTTCTGGGCCGCGAGCGACGCGTGTCGCATGCTATGTGCGGAGAAGATGTCCCTAATTCAGCAATCCGCTAAGGCATTCTTTATCCAGCGACTAATTGTCTGAGATCCTACCGCGGTGTGAGGACGTTTGAGCGCGATAAAGAGAGAATCAGGCCGAGGGACGAATGTCTTGCGTTCGTGACAAATAATGAAAAAGTAAATTAACAACACATAAGTTGTTGTGTCCCCTGAATCGAGAGAAGGATAGAAAAGGCTGTGATCGGCCTGGAGCTCTTTATCCGGAACGCGAATGAGAACTCTCTCTGCAGTAAATGAGATTTGCGAGACACGAATCGCCACAAGGGTTTGACAACGCTGTCCCGACGCTAGTGCTAACAATAAGACTAACTTTTTAGTTATCACCTTTAGTGATTCATGAGAAAAAAGGAATGCCAGGTATTACGATATTACGGGAGAGGGATTCCAAATCGTAACGCGGACCGAATGGCTTCAATACACTAATACTCTTACAAAAACGTTTGACAAGGGGGTCGCCTCCGAACGTTGCGTTTGAAATTAATGAAATTGCGGATCTGACGGAGTTAAGCATAAGAACCTACTGTTCCCGCTAATTCCAACAGAAAATGGGGGACATCCTTGGTTTTCGGACAGAATAGCAATGCCGTCTGTAAGAGAAATCTCATCAGGAGCGGAGAAGGCCAGAATACTGACGGATAGCTGGTGCGAGAGATGCTAACATAATGCCAATGGCAGACTGCGGAACGCCTCTGGCCTCAAAAGCTTGCCCAATAATTTCCCTGCCCCCAGGGAAAGCGATCCGGTCGCCGGATGACGATCCCTAAAAGGAGAAGATAATAAGTTATCCGCTGGGTGCAAAATAATTGGATGTGAAGTTATAAGATGATTAAAGAATAGAAACTAGGATTGTGATAGCCACCAGAGAACTATCACCACTCCTTCCGCTTCATCATCAATCATTTTCCGCAGAACCCGTGGAAATAAGATGAAAGGGAGGAACGTAGAAATAAAATTCACTCCAATCAAGGATGAACGCGCCGACACTGGATCCAGGAGACAAAGATGTTGCACTTTGTATTGATGTTAGAATCAAAGAAATCAATGTCAAAAGGGCCAAATTATCTGTCTGTTATTTGAAAAACCATGGACAATGACCATTCAGTGTCCGCATCTTTTCGACGAGATTCTTCATCCGTGATGACTTTTCAGAAGAGGCGATATAGGAGGCGACCAGCCAGATATTTTTAACCTCGTACCACTGCCAGATATCCTTCGACAGAGATGGTAAATGAGGATATTTGACCGAAACGATTAATGTACGATGTTGTCGTGGTGTTATCCACCCTTAACAGAATCTCGCAGTTACTTAGATCCGATACGAGACATTTCAGTGCGTAAAACGTGGCTTTTAGCTCTAATATGTTGATATGGAGGGTCTTTTCTATCTCAGATCACCAGTCATGAGTCCTATCCGCGAATGATGACGCCCAATTCGTGAGGCATCTGAAAAGATCTCCCGTGCGAAGCGACCCGTTAGAATAAGGTTGGTCTGATCCCGATCGACTAAAATATTGAGCCACCAGCAGAAATCCTCCTCGAAATCCGGCGAGATGAACATTTTAGCTTTAAAATTGTTACTAGTTCTTTTAAAGGCTAAGAACTTATGCCTCTCAAAGCTCTTTGTGTAAAGTGAATCATACTTTACAGCGGGACAGACGGAAAGGTCGATCAGAAAGGTCGACAGACGAAAGGTAGATACTAGTGAAGTCCCTGATCGAACAGTGAGAATTGGCCGAGAAGTTTGAAACAAGCGAATACAGTTTATTTCGGCGGGTTTCTGGAATGGCGACTGATTGTGATTCAGAATCAAACATAAATCCGAGGTACTTGTGACGGCGAGCAGGCTCCAGCTCTGACTTCCCAAAGTTAATAGCTCAGATCTGAAAGAGTATTAATATGTGCCTGAACATTACGTCGACAGGCCTCTTTCGAATGGGTCAATAGGAGGAAATCATCCAGATATAGTACCGACTCAAACCCTCTGCACGAAGATGTGCGACCACTAGGCGTAAAATTTTCGTAAAAAATATATGGGATCGTAACAAGGCCAAATGGCAAGGTCGCAAACTCATAGATAATTTCCTGTCACTGGAATCTGAGATATTTCCTGTAGAAGGGTGAATAGGTAACGATAAATAAGCGTCTTCTAAATCAAGAGAAGCCATCTCGACATTAAGGAGCATAAGACAATCGTCCGCCAGTTTTCTAGCTTAAAGTGAGGCGGGAGAATGTAGGAATTAAGCTCTTCTAGATTTAATATGAAATGCATGCCTCCTGATGGCTTTTCGATTAGGAAAAAGGGGGAGAGAAATTGCTCAATGACTGAATCGAATGGATGGCTCCTTTTTCCCAAAGTCGATTTCTGCGTTGCAGTGAGCTGAGATCGAAAAAGGTTGGTTCCCTTAGCTCCGAGCGCGCGGGTGGTGACGCGAAAAAAGAAATTTTATCCCTGAATAGCACGTAAAACTTTCGGATCCGATGTTTTGGCTTCCCAATTGTGCAAGAAATAAGCCTGCGGTTCTTATCGAATTTAGCGGCGATAAGCGCGAGAATGGGACGCTGATCTTCGAGATCGGTTCCTCGGTAGATGAGCCCCTGCTCGATAATACGGTTGATTCGACTGGCGAACAGGGACTTTCACATTTCTCGCTGGGGTCTGCTCCGCGATGATTAGATCTTCACTACTCATTGAGGGGTGATCTTGGAGGCCGCAGCAGGAGCTTTGACGAGTACCCGAGCCACTTTCTCGCAGGCCTGGGCATCCTTAACCTCTTCAACAAACGAAGCATCGAACAGCCACTCGTCTAGTGAGACCAGATCAGCAGTAGATTTTCCCAATAAATTCAGGGTCGGTTTTATGAAGGTCCGCCTGGCTAGAGATAATTTAGAAGAAAATCCGCACACTTTCATTCGTGCAGTTGCTACTAAAACTGGTTTATCTAAGAATTCTATTCATGAGAGGGTAAAACAGAATCGTTATCATCTTCTAAATGTGCTAAGATCATAAGAATATTGTCTGCAGTTGTACTTAAATGCGGTTTACTCCTTTTCTTTTTTTCAAATTCTCCATAATTTCTTTAATTCTTTTCAATGTTATAAAATACTGTTGCACACGGGTGATGTCTTTATGGATATCTTGTGGCATACAGAATTG